ATCAGGCAGGCGAATCTTCCATTATTACAAAATTCAACTGCTTCCGCTATTCTCTGTCTAAGCTCTTCTACATTTTCAATCGGCTTGGAATATACTTTTTCCTTCACTGCTCCCCAGTAAAAAAAATCTAGAGGATTTAAATCGGGTGAGCGGGCGGGCCACGAGAGGCCACCCTATCCATCTGTCCGGATATTCTTCATTAAGGTGTTCTCGAACTAAGCGGCTATAATGAGCTGGACAACCATCTTGTTGGAACCACATATCTCTGAAAATAATAAGCAGCACGTCCTCCAGCAAATTGGGTAAATGATTTTGTAAAAAATCTAAATAAATTTTAGCATTTAAAACTTCTGGCAACTCGAAAGGCCCTATGACTTTTCCGTTTAAAATTCCAGTCCACATGTTTATTTTGAAACGGTACTGTGACCTATCTTGTCTCATCAATCGTGGATTTTCGACGTGCCATTCGTGTAGATTGTGAAGGTTCATGAAGCCGTCTTTTTTAAAGGTTGATCCATCCGACCATAAAATTTTTTCTAAGAATTGTGGGTCTTCTCGGTGTTTTTGAATCATGGTTTGGCAAAACACAACCAGAGGTTCATAATCCCAAGGTAATAACGTTTGTACTCGCTGTAAATGATTAGGGTGGAGCTCAATTCCACGTACCGAACAACTTGGGTCCTCATCAACTGCTTGAAGGACTACTTCCTCGTAAGGTAATGAAATTCTACCTTCACCATGCATTTCATTTGGCAGTCGGCCATCAGAGAAGTGTAGACTGTGCACATTGGTAAAAACTCTGTGATCTGCATAGCGATCAGCATTAGGGTATCTCTCGCGATACCGTCTAGCGGCTTCACTGGCATTACATTGGCATTCCCCATAAATGAGATGCATGTTGGCATATTCCTGTGTGGTGTACACATCCATGGTATGGTACAAATACACAATAACACGTTAGTCCAGGGAAAAGCAAAGGTCGTCATAAAGAGATCACAAATGTCTAAATCCGAATCCAAATCACACGCAAACAAGTCCAGTAAACGAAGCCAAATTAGTAGAACACAAGGTATCACCAGCGAATACGAAAAGATGCGTAGTAAACGAAGTAGCGTTGCGTACTGATTTCACAGAGTACTTGACTGATTTGTAGTGCGTGTACCAATACCAATAAGAGGCGTCACTACCTGTCTTGCTCACACTTAGCATGGCTCTCTGTCTTTTTCACTCATTTGCGTCTGTGTCTCATTAGCGTCACTATCTGTCTCGCTCACACTTTATGGAATGTCTCTCTTGCACTAGAATCGTTTTAATGTAAGTTCCAAAAAATTGTTAAAAACTGACTTTGATTAACAAAAAATTTTTTATGGCTTATCTAAGAAATAATGGAGTAAGTGTTATACCACGTTAGAATCCTTATTAAATACGTTAACTTTTAAAGCTACTTGCCAAACTGGCGTAGTACAATTTTTTTCCAGGACGGTCAGTTGAAGTAGTGCGAAAAACTAATTCTGAGAACTTGGTTCGGTATAAAATTACATTTTCTTTCAAGCTGGAGTGATCGGCACAGGGTTTAGGATTACAGGTTACAGAATCACTATTCAGGATGACGTAAGAGAAAAAAATTGGCAAAAAGTAAATATTTGTAGCAACAGGAATGAAAAAACTGTCTCATGGTGTACATTTTATCGAAAAAAAAAATTATTATAATTTCTGAAATACATGACTTTTTTATATTTTTCTGGTAACTAGTATGGCCTCGCCTATCAGAAAGTTACAGTTTAACGTCGACTTCTGGGACACCCGATATAAATTAAGGTAACCAATGTGCACACAGGACGGTTTCATACGCAGTAGAACACATTATGCTGATATTTTAAATTACAGTATAGTGTGAACAAGAACGAATGAGGCATCCCATTTCAGCCCTCAGGAGGATTGATGTTAATGTCTGCGGGCCACAGCATCCACTTATCATCACTTAACATCGGTGTTATAAGTACTATAAAAAAGGAACAGGTATAAGAAGATAAAATTAAAACTTCCATATAAATAAAAACGACTTCAATATAAATAAAATGAGAAGATCATCAATGTAGTCGAAGTCAATTAAATACGCATTATTAAAGATGACTCAAAAACAACTTGTCAGGTCTTGATCAAATTTATATGGACTAGCAACAGATTTAAAATAAAAAAAGTATCATCAAAATCGATTCACACTGAAAAAAGTTCTACACATAAAAAGTACAGTCGAATTGAGTACTTCCTCCTTTTTGTTTTGAAGTCGGTTGAAAAAAAAACATGTAAGTGTTTTGTAAGGTGAACGCTGCTGATGTGATTGTAAGAAGCTTTTGTAAAACGGTGCGTGACTTTGATTAGGCGTAGTCAGAATGAAATGATGAAATTATTAAAATTTGATGCTAGTAACTCAATATCTAAAATATCACTATTGATACTTTTTTTATGAAAAAAAAGAAAGATTTTGACTGAAGTGAAATTGTAGTAAACAACCTCGAAATATTATTAATAATTTTAACACTGCAACGTGAAAAATATGAGGTAAATTATAATATTTAAAAGTCAGGTTATTCGAGTTTAAAACGAGAGAATGATATAAAGAGTTTAAAAAGCTGATCCAATTCCAGGAATAGTGACCTAAAAGACAAAAGCTAACTGAGGCATAGACGGTCTATGAATATGGATATTATGTTTATTTTGTGAAATGTTTTTGGTGTGAAATATACGGGATTTCATAATCTTAGTAAATTCGCAATGCTAGTGTGACGGCGTATTATTATTATTAATAATAATTAATTTCTATATAAAGCCGTCTCAAATAATTAAAAATTAAAAACACATTAATAAAGTACATAGTAAGTTTAAACGTGATAGAGCCATGCTGCAGTTATATTACTGGTATAGTTATAGCACGAATGGGTCGGCTCGACCAGGGAAGGACCACGCTCTCACAGAATACCAGTATAAAGTAGCAATGCTTTAATGCCTAAAGTGCTTAATGCTGCTGGATTTCGTATGGTGAGTGTAGTGAACCAGATACCCTTTTTACTGGAAACGAGGCATTACATCTTAGTCCTCTCGGGTGACAAAGCCTTTGCATTTTGATTCGTAATCCAGGATAGATATAGATGTCTATGAACCACATCAACCAATTACCATCAGATTGACTGTATACTCATTTGTCACCCTTATCCTATAAAAAATATTAAAATACATTCAATTCAGACATTAAGTATTATAGTAAATTAAAGGCTTAATATAGCCTAAATCATTAATATTAAAACTGTTTAAATATTCAAAATTTACTAGATAATAGAAATACAAGTGGAACATATTATAAAAGTAAAGATAAATAACATTTATTATATTATTGGAAAATTGGTGAAAAAATTCTAAGTTATTGAGCGTGTTGTTGTAAACTAGCAGCATGTTCTTGTATAGATGGAGGGTATTCGTGGAGGGATTGCTTATATAAGGCAGTTGCTGGATACACAGATATATATGGAGTGGTCAGGTGGCTGACTACTGTAGTAGTACTGGTTGCGCCAACGCACACCCTTGCATTTTCGTATTCGTTAATGTAGTTTGTTAGTTAAATTGACCGGCGTAACCTCCCCTCACTTCCGGTCCTTCCACGCACGGGCCTGCCTAATGGGGGGTGAGCTAGATATAGGTGGATGCGTCATTGGCCCTCCAATGGGTGGCGCGCTCCGCCAAGTGGAAGGCGGAGATGGTGGAAGCTGTAAAAAGACGTGCGCCGACACCCTTCGCCTCAGTGCAGTAAAATTTTCGTCGTGTCGACAAGGCCGTAGGGAGAGGCCGCTCGTCGCTTCCCCCAGGTAAGTGCCCATCCCTATTCATGAGCTGTTTTATTTTATTTATTGTGTCTTTATCCTCAGCAGCTCATCATCCGTCGTGCCGGCCAACGCATTAAATGTCATAGCAAATAAGCAAATATGTTGTCCAAAGTCCGCCACGTTTGAACCACGCTAATACAGTCATTTACTTGATGTTTCGCTCCGCAATATCTTTCGTCATTCGCGCATCCATAGTTTTGATCCAGACAATAAGTCATTTTAGCTGGGGACTGAGGGGTTAATCGTATTTTGTGATTAAGCCCTCATAAAAAAATACTTTTTTCAGTATAACCACACACACTAAATAATAGAAAGTCGTAAACTAACAAAAAATTATCGAAACTTCAAAATATTTGCAGAGACTTTGCTTCTTTATCTAGAAATAGTTCAATCGTGAAGTCATACTTTTCGAGAATTATAACTTCTTCTTCTTCTTCTACCTAGCGTTTATCCCGGTTGCTCATCCCGCCCAGCGCGGGAGAACCCAGGGTCCGCTTTCCTACTACACTTCCTCCTCCACTTTGCCCGGTCTTCGGCGTCCCTCGCAACTAGCCCATTGACGCGCATGTCATCCTGCACGACATCAAGCCAGCGTTTATTGGGCCGTCCTCTATTCCTGGTACCAGGTAGGGTCATGTCCAGGTATTTGTTTCCCACATACGCACTTGCCGGTCGTCGTAAGACGTGGCCGTACCAGCGGAGGCGACTTTCCTGGATCTTGTCAGCAATGTTACGGACATGGAGGCTGCCGCGAATATATGTATTCCGTACATGGTCTTTCCGCGAGATGCCACACATCCACCGCAGCATGTTCATCTCCGTGACATGCAACAACTGCCGGTGTCACGCTAGCACCGGCCACGCTTCACTGCCGTACGTAAGGACAGGCCTTATGATGGTCTTATAGACCTGTCCTTTCAGCTTTACTGGCATTTTGGGGTCACAAATGACAACCGTCACCTCGCGCCATTTCGCCCAGGCCGCTGATATACGGGCCTTGATGTCGCGATCGATGTCCCCGGACGCATCAAGCACAGATCCGAGGTACCTGACGTTGTCCGTGCGCTCGACGGTGTCGTCGCCTATACGGAGAGACGTCAGATCTGTGCTGTTGCAGGCCATTTACTCCGTCTTCGCCACATTTAGCTTCAGCCCGCCGTTCTCAAGCGCCTCCCTCCATGCGTGCACGCATCTGGTGAGCCGTCCTTTGTCCCCATCTACCAGTGCGATATCATCAGCGTACATAAGCAGCCAAGGCTGTATTAGTTTCTGTACGCTGGCTGATAGTTCGTCTAATATCATACTGAAGAGATAGGGGCTTAAGACGGAGCCCTGATGCACGCCTACGGTTATGGGGAAGGGAGTGGTATCACCTACATTCTTTTCCCTATGCTTCTCCATGAGGATCCTTAGAGCGAATATAGGGTCCATGGTACCGCATCCTGGTTGGAAACCGTACTGGGAGTCCCATACTATACACTCCTGTCGGATCCTGGTGTCAATAATGCGCTCGAAGAGCTTCATGGTGTGTGACGTCACCTTTATATCGCGGTAATTACTGCAATCCTGAAGAATTCTTCAAGATCGAGAATTAAAACAATTCTTCTAAATAATAAAACAATTCCAGGTTAGTAATTTAGGCTATAATTTATCCGAAAGACATGCAGTGTTTTGTTAAATCGGGACACTGATAAAGCTTTCCCATACGCAGGAGGCAATAACTAAAAAAAAACTGACCACAATTAGAGCTCTGCAGGTTTTTTTTGTTACAGTTCTACGCGAGGGAAGTCATGGGTTAAAGCCATTTTGAAATTAATTAATTATTTTTTGTTTTTTACTTGAACTCTTATCTTTATATATTTATATGAAAGTGTTTAAAGTATTTATTTAATTACATAAATATCCGTATGGCAGCGACGTAAGGAAAATACTAAATATCGTCCCGTGGGTGTCGTAAGACACTTTTGAGACTTTGGGAAATATCAAAAATTATTTTATGGCATACGATAGGTGCTACCACCTATAATAATTTCGTTTACATCAGACTTAAAACACCTAGACCAACGTCGGGCAGCAGCGACAAAGGCTGAAACTGTGGTCGTCAATCGGCCTGCTGAACTTGACGACTGAACTGAAGACTGACTGACTGAAGGCTTCTCAAATCAAAAGAAATCCTCTCAACAACGAAATACGCTCATGTCTAGCAATAACATTTTAAGAGGAAGAAGAAGATGATTAGCCTATATTTTAGGCTTGTTTAATGAAATTGACATTTATTTTTTATGTACATATAATTATTCATTTATCCTGAAACTATTTGAAGTTTTTCCTTCGAAAGTTTCTATCAAGAAATTTAGATACTTCTTTTATTTTTTTATTTTATAGAAAAGGGGGCAAACGAGCATGCGGCTCACCTGATGGTAAGTGACTACCGCCGCCCATGATCAACTGCAACACCAGGGGAATTGCAGATGCGTTGCCGGCCTTTTAGAAAGGAGTAAGCTCTTTTCTTGAGGTTCCTAAAGTCGTATCGGTCCGGAAAAGTCGCTGGTAGTAAATAATTCCACAGAGAAATTGTACGAGGAAGAAAAATATTTAAAAGAAGGAAAGAACATTTATTACTACAAAAGTTTGTTACTACACTACTTGAAGTATAGTAGTATATTTACAACTACATATCTGAACTGAATTATTTAATAAGATTTAGCGCTTCAGTTTCATACTTTTAAAATACACAAGTGTTAAACGCAAAAACAACTTCTTCTACATGGATATTTTTCCTTTGCATTAACTTTTAACAAATATTTAAGTTAATTAATAGAATAAAGTATTCCTTTAGGGAAATCCATTATTTTAAAGATAAATCTTAATTAGATAAGAACCACGTTATTAAAACATTTATTACGCGCATCCCAGCTAATTATTTTTAACCTCTTTATTTTTGTAACGTCATTCGATTTAATTAAGTTAACCTTTTTATGTATCAGTATTTATACATATTATAAATTATATATATATATATATATATATATATATATATATATATATATATATATATATATATATATTTGTGTGTGTGTGTGTGTATATGTATGTATATATATTTATACATATTATAAAGATTGTGAACACGAGCCAAGAAAACCACAGATGAGATTAAAATGACAGAATGAAATGGCTTTCTCTTACATTAATTAACGTCATAAAATAAACCATAGAAATAAGTATAATAAAACTATGTTTCTACTTTTACCCATAGCTGCAAATAATAACAGGTTATTTATATCTAATCCCGAACCCATCACTGCCCATACGCTTCTATTACTACTCTTAACTTAATAAGTGATGGTGATAATGAGAGATAAATCAGTACATGAAGAATTGTGTTCATTTTCAAAATTAGTACTATATGATGTGAGAAAACCTAAAGTTTTGACACTAATATTAAATTACAATGAATTTTATAACTTTGTAGTTTTAGTAAGTAAAAACAAGTTTGAAAGTCATAGGATGGGACATCCCTCAGGACTCAGCTGGCTTCGACATTCGCCACACAAGCTGCGTTTTTGTACCTATCGCATATTATTTCTGCTTTTATACTATCGCATGTATCATTTTATCTATTTACTATTTTATCTATGTTATCTAGTAATTGAGATCATTTAAATAAAATGACTTTTCTGATTTTATAATAAAAGAAAACAGTAATTAGAGGATATTAAAAAAGTTAAAGTTAATGTTAAAATTACAGCCTACATACGTTCCACTGCTGGGCACTGGCCCCTCATTTCTGAGAGGATTTTCGTGCAAGGAAGTGCCCGCCGCGCTGCCACAATGCGTGTTCGCGAAATTCTTATGTCTTCGAAGTATTTTTTTTTATTTCTCATACATTAAGATTTCCACACGAAATTTTCCTTCACTCCTGAGCACGTGGTTAATCAGCACTAGCTATTTCATTAGTGACGGCGGGTATCGAACCCGGGTTGATCGTGTACTTTGAGAGTTACAGCGAGTGCTAACCATCTGAGCGACCACGGCTCTCGGCTACCACGGCTCTCGGCACGGATGATATTAGGTAGGACTAATGTTTATTTATTTTTAATTTTTTTTTCATGTTTTTATTTTTCTGGAACTACTCGGCTGGCTGAATTCTTATTCTTCTTCAGCTCGTGAAAATCGGATGCTGAATATGGGCCCCTTCTATGGTGGGGATGATTAAAAGTGGAGATTTGTCATAATCGCCACGATTGGCGATTGCAGTAACAGACGTCACGCGCTTTCAATGCTGCTCTCCGTATATTTAAGTTTCATTGTGTAATATCGCCACTAGAAGGCAAATGTCAAGTAAGTAGGTCAACCTTGATGTAAGCGGGAATGTAGCGGTTAAACTCTTTTATTATTAAGTTTATGTCCTTTGTTCAGGAAAGGTATTGTTTCCATCATGACTTTCTATTTATAACTAAAAACTTAATCTCAGAAATAAGTTTTTGTACAATAAAGCTTAAAAAAACATTAAATGCGATATTAATAAAGCTGAATATTTCAACCAAATTGTAATATAAATGTTACGAATTTAAATGTTTACGTAGTAGAGCCACGTTGTAGCTATATTATGGTTGTAGCACGAATGGGTCAAACGGAATACCAGCGTAAAATAGCAGCTTAATGCTGCTATGTTTTGTGCAGTGAGTGTAGAGAACCAGAGACCGTTTTTTACTGGAAATGAGGTATTCTAATTTAGTACTAAGGGGTAGTAGCACATCTGCATTCTGATTCTTAATCTAGGATAAATGTAGATATCTATGGGCTACAGCATCCACTTACCATCAGCTGGACTGTGGCTCGTTTGTCACTCTTATTCTATATTTAAAAAAAAGTGAATAGGTAGGTAAATAAATTATGTAATGTTACAAGTCGTCGAAAGTTCACATGGAAAAATTTAAATTTAAAAGTATTAAACTATCCATTGATTACATAACACTATAAGGATGTCGATATTAGGATTGCAGGAGATGACGAGACACTCTTTAACATGATTTTAAATTTGTTAATAAAATAGACAATCATAATATTGGCTTCTCCTCAAAATGGTCTATTTACTCTTGGAAAAATACGAACTTTAATTCAGCTTTATAAAGCCATATTATGGCGCAAATCTTTTTTCAAATGAGATATCTGAGTATCCATTGCGTAATTTTAAACTAAATGCTACAAAATGCAATTTGATAACACTCAATTATTTTTCCTAAATGTATTTACTATTATGCCTGTTGACTTTAAAGATAAATTGGTAGAATTTGTTGATACTTCGAGCAACATGAGCATAATAGTAAGCGTGGCGTTGAGATTGTATTTGGAGTGTGTTGTTACAGATTATAATGCACATACTACTTCTAGAATCAGGGGTGAAATGTTAGCCTTTTTGTACAGAATAAACATAGAGAAATGTACTAAGGATACATGGATAAACTCTATCACATTTACTTTAATTAGTGAAGCTCATGTGACTATTAGTCTGGCACTCTCGCTGCATCAGAAGCAAGAATTATATTAAGAGTGGACAACTGTTAAGTTGATCTGACCATTTTCCCCTTTATGTTGACTGACTCTTGCGAATATAAATAACAATTGTATTCTTATTTATAAAATGAGATTGGGATAACAAACCTTCAAATTATTCATTCGTAAAACATGTAAATATTTTGCAAAATTTTAAAAAGGAGAAAAATTCTGCATATTCTGCATAAATCGGACCACAAATCGTTATTTAAAAGCTGAAGGTGGCCCGAGTTAATCGTAACACAAGGATGTGTAATGAAAAAAGTGGAAAGGCGACCTTCACGTATTTCATCATAGAGAGAAACACGAACACGATCAAAGATGTACCCTATAGTAGTTGCATGCCAACTTACGCCTCACGGTGCTTCCCTCCCAAAGGCATTTTTAAGATGCGCAGCGTAATTGGAGATAATATTGGATATAAATTGAAGAGTGAACTTATCACCAAAAAATATCGTGATAATTCCAGTTTTGGTACAGATGACGAACTTCAACTTTTGATGAAAACAATTCACAAGCAACTCTCGACAATAAATACTCACGGAGGAAGTGTTAATATTATTTAATGCCTTTGTCGGGACTTTGCTTATGATTATTTATTGTTGAAGAACGTGACCTTTCTTTCGTTTTTCTCACAAAGTGAATGCTAAAAAATAAAAATTAAGAACATGTTCTTAAGAAGTCGACAGACATTGTACGTTAAGGATCGTTGAAAATGGCTTCTTTCGGTGCAAAAATAACGCAACTGAACGTTCCTTGTCTTGAGTGTACTTAAGGGATGCTGAATGTTCCTGTCTTCCAAACTTGACAACGTAGATAGGTAGGCGGTATTTGACGAAAGGTACATTCTAAAACTTATTTTGCAGTCTTTGAGAAAACTTAATTCTATATAGCATTTAAAATAATAGTAGAAAGTATTCTATTTTAGTTTTGCAGAAAAAGGCCATAAGAAGAATTTATAACCT